GTAGATGTTGTCTAGAGGGGTGGGGTAAAAAGTGAATGAATGAATGAATGAATGAATGAATGAATGAATGAAAGAATGAATGAATAAATAAATAAATAAATAAATAAATAAATAAATACTTCCTCCTCCCCACTTTATCTTCTTAAGAATATAGCCTTTGGGTTTGCTAGCATGCTTAGAAGGGAGTCACAAGCAGTGAGGAGTCCAAAGCAGAGAGGTTCCTCTTCACATGTACGTGCTACAGGTAAGAACTCTGAAAAATCTGTGTTACTACTCATGGGCTGAGCCTACATGTGAGCAGGAGCCTTCTCTTCTTCAGGTTCATTGCTGCTTATGTGAGGAAACTGATGATGGCTGTAGGGCTCTATGCTCACCTCTAAACATGTGATAAACCCAGAGGCTATAATACCTGAATAGCATTAAAAAGGCAAGCCCCAGGCCAATATGCTTGATAATCACATGGAGAACCTACATCTTCTGAGTGCCCAACACACTATCACAAAGTCTCCCAATGACTTCACTTTTTTTGTGCGCAAAGATTTTAATGCTTTGATAGACTTGTGCTGTGCTGTTGGTGGTTGCTCAGTGTACAGTGGTTCCTCTTGATGTTGTACCCATGAGGTAAGCACAGTTCTCCAATCATACCTGTGTACCTTGAAAGAAATCGCCCAAAAATTGAGACTTTGTAGATGCTAACTGTGTATCACTTAACAAAATGGAACCATGAGCAGTGTTGCCCCAGAAGATCTCAAAAGCAGGGGAGAAGATGTCATTTGTGACATTTTGAAATAAAATCATTTACTGAATATGTACTTTATTGTGAGTCTAGCTAGCCCCAACAAGGTCAAATGAAGATCCCTCCTCCATCGCTGGGGACATGGTGGTACTGCGGGCTAAACTGCAGAAGCCTGTGCTGCAGGGTCAGAAGACCTAGCATTTGTAAGATCGAATCCACGCGACGGAGTGAGCTCCCGTCGCTTGTCTCAGCTCCCGCCAACCTAGCGGTTCGAAAGCATGCAAATGGAAGTAGATAAATAGGGACCACTTCGGTGGGAAGGTAACAGCGTTCTGTGTCTAAGTCGCACTGGCCATGTGACCACAGAAGATTGTCTTCGGACAAACGCTGGCTCTATGGCTTGGAAACGGGGATGAGCACCGCCCCCTAGAGTCGAACACGACTAGGCAAAAATTGTCAAGGGGAACCTTTACCTTTACCTTACCTCCATCGCTGAATCCATATACAACAGATGAATGCTTGAAAACACATTCGGGTTTATTAAACTAGGAAATGGTGTAACAACAAGTGGCTTAGAGTCGCATTCTGCTTCATCTGGCCTCGCTGATCCCACTGGCCTGAGGTCAGTTTCTAAAGTCTCTGGTCCCCTGATTCCATCTACCGAGGACATCAGGTCCTTACCACTGGACCACTCTGCTCTGTATCTCATAGAGTCCCATGACCAGAGCACCCTAGTCTCCTGATTACCCCTAACAAAGAGGGCATATACATCCACAATGAGGGCAGTTGGCGGACAAATGTCTTTTCTGACAGTTGTATTGGTCCTGGCTCCCCAAGGATTCTTCCCAGGTTCTCTTGATACTTACGCTCCTGAAGCTTCTATCTGTGTCAGCATTGGCTGTGTGCTTTCAGTTCTCCCACCCTTCTAGTGGTCTTCCATTTATGTCCTGCCCCAGTAGGATGGGTGGTAAGGGGTCTTGTGGCATTCATGTTTCTCACACTCACCTTTAGGAACCCATAGCTGTATCAGAACCATCC